AAATTTACACGTATCAATTAAGATAACAATCCTATTAACTTCCAAATATTTAAAAGAAAAAAAAAAGTATATATTGTATCCTTTGTCCAACCTACTTCACCGACCTAAAATAATATCAACGAATTGCGATTGTTAATTCCAATTTTAAATTGATATATGAGTATATCTTTCCTATTTTAAATTCGGACTATTCTAATAATTTTGATTAATGTGTATGTGTTACTTTTTTTCTAAGCCTTGCAGGAACCTGCTCCAAATAGGGGAATATGTTCTCCATCACACCACTTATGGCTGTATTGATAATTTGAATTATGAAATTTAAATTTTAAGATTTGTTGTTCTATGGATCTTAAGAAATTTAAGAAAATTTTCCTTTTAAATTATTTAAATGACATGAAATAATAAATGGAGAATAGTTTTCTTTAAGGTACTTGATCCCAATTTTACGAGGATGGAAAATGAAATGTAGGGCGGGAAGCCATCCTTATCCCCTAATAAAACTCCTAATTTAACTATCATAGTTAATATTTGTATCGTTTATATTTTGAACTAAAGTTTATTTCGAAGCTAATAATGTGACTTGTTTCCTCTTCTGCAAAGTTAGTAAGTTAAACTATACTACTTAAAACCTCCTTCCAATTGTAAATTTGAATTATTTTAACAGTCAAAACATTAATAATTTTAACAGTCAAAACCTATGGATTTCGTTAAAGACTTTCACGTCTGATGTTATATTCTTTTAACAGGAAAAAAAAATCTCAAAATTTTATTTTATTTAAAACGAGATTATGAGTAATTTCATCTATCTTCTGTCAAAATAAAATAAAATAAAGTTAGCAATCAAACGTAATTATTCAAGAGAGAATAAACTAAAAAAGTCAAAATTTTGACTAAAATTTGACCTATGTGACACTTGGGAGCCCTTTTTTCTTTTCCAAAAACTGGGTTATTAAAATTCACACTTTGGGATTTGGGAAACAATTCCCACTAAACAATTCCCATTATTTAATAACAACAATCCATTATGTGCCAAAAATAAAAGACTATATAATAAAACACTAATTCTATGTCCTTCATGAGTTCATGTTACTAGGAGTGGTAGTAATCATGTCATATCAAAGTTGAAATAAACTTTTTCTCCAAACCCAACCCAATTAAAATCATTAAATAATATTTATCTCCGGATAATTTTTTTTTTTAATATAGAGAAACTCTATTATTTGTCGCTATTACTAAAATTTTGACAGATATTTACTTTTCTAAAAATGGTAAATTAAAAAAATTTATCTCAACATTTCTCTAGTATTATTCTTAAAAAATACACACGAAAAGAAAGAAAAAAAAATGATCAAACCAAAAATTTTGAAAGGACCCCATTAATCACATAGGCTTCAAATTATGTAATAATCACCGATTCTTTGTCAATGGGTCCCTCCCTTTTTCCTCCTCTTCCTTTTCTCTCTTTGCTTAAAAGCAAAATGGTTGCTCTCATTTCATCAGATATATCACTCTTTGTTTCCTAGAATTCTGAGATATTTCTCTTTCAAATTTCCAATCCGCAGTGATGAAAACATTGGATCTTTTTTGCAAATCCAGAGCTTCTACGGCTGTTTGTTCAAGCCTGGACCGCCGTCCGGTGGCCGCCCGTGGCTACTCCGGCAACCGGAGAAAAGGGCAGCTTCATTTCGAGAAGCACAGAAAGAGTACGAGCTGTTCCAGCGCGAATCGAAAGGATGATTTTAATTTTCGAAGAAAAAGCTGTGCGGATGTGGATGATCTGAAGAGCCCTGCTTCCGGTTCCTCTGCTCGATATCTGTTGGGGGATTCGCCGTTCATTGACTGGTTTCCGGCCGCCTCCGGCGAGGATTTTCCGGCGAATCCGCCGGAGGAGAGAACACAGAAATCTTCTTCTTTGACTCGATCGTTGACTGCGCATGAGTATCGTGGCCTCAAATCTCCTTCCTCTGTTCTTTCTCACGAATCCCCTGTTCTAAAATCACCTTCCTCGGCTCAATCTCGTCATCAGGTTATTCTATTTAAAAATTCTCTCTAAATTTTCGTCATATGAAAGTTTCTGGCTCGACCCATGTGAGAGAATTGCGTTAGAATTGAAATGGATTTTTTAAGTTTTTTGTTCTTGGTGGTCCTGTTTTAAAAGGTGGTGGTTCTGAAGGTCTCCCTGAACTGCAAAGGCTGCGAAAAGAAGGTGAAGAAGCACATCTCCAAGATGGAAGGTGAGCAAAACAAGAGAGAAAGATCATGTTTAGAATTATGAACTGATGTAGTCTGTTAGTAAAATAATAAAAAAAGTATTGATAATTTTGCAGGAGTGACATCATATAGTGTGGATTTCACGACAAAAAAAGTGACCATAATTGGGGAGGTGACCCCTTTTGGTGTACTGGAGAGCGTGTCAAAAGTGAAGCATGCTCAGCTCTGGCCATCTCCAACTTCATCAACATCTTCTTCATCTTCATCTTCAACACCTAAATCTTCTGCATCATCCCCAACATTCTGATTAACTACTAAAGCAAGCAAAAATCTTTCTTTCTACAAAAGCCCATCTGGGGTTCGTTTGTATTATGGTGATAAGTTGCAGAAGTAGTGTTTTTAAGTGTAAATTTTGGTGTTGTGTTTGCATATTTCCCTGTTGAGAAATGTTGTTGTGGATTTGAGAGAGGAATGATGATGATGATTATAGGTTGTAGTGGGAGAAAATGGAAGACATAATTAAAACTTTCCAAGAGTGAGAGAATTGCATGCGGTAGCAAAGCAATCGTGGGTGGGCACTCGAAGGAGGAAGTTGCCTTTTGGGACACGACTATTTTCTTTTTCTTTTCTTGTCTGCTGTATTTCTATTTCTGTTTAGAAGGCTCTATTTTTTCTAACATCGGGTTAATACGAGTATTTCCCACTTGTGTCTTCTTTTGGCTACTTCTAGTTTTAACATATATTATTGTTTGTGCCTCCTAAGTTTTTGGTCGAATTTGTTTGGAAGGATTTTAGAGTTTACATTGTCGGTTTGGTTTGGTTTTAGTTGGTTTGATAGTTAGCTTCGACTAGTTTGAATTGAACGATCAATTTGATTTTTAAATCATTGATCTTTTTTCTATAAGAATATTACATTAAGATATAAGCCAATATGAGCACCTCGACTAATCTCATGAAAATTTAAATTCATTCCCTCTTAATTAACCCTAATATTTCTTTGGACCAATGAGTCACCCAAAATGATTGAAGTAAGATTTTGTAAATATGACAATTTTTTAGGACAATCATCCATCAATATGTATTAGTGATAGAAGACTATTTGTGCCAACTTTTAAAATTTGTGTCGTATTTACATATCTCTACAAATATGGTCTCGATTACAAGGAAACCTTTGTTCACCCCCACCCCTATAGCCCATGAAATCTATTCGTTTCCTACTCTATATTGCAGCAAATCAAAACCGACCATGTTCCAATCCAATTTCCATTTTCCTAAAGAAAGAAGTTTAGACGAAACCTCTCTTGACCAATTTCTCAAAACTAAAAATTCGTAAACTTAAAGTTTAGATAAATATCTTAATTTTTATCACTTTATTCAATAAGAAACCCACAAAAACTCATTTTAATAAAAACTAAGTTTCACAAATTAAGTTTCATTAAAAAATCTACCGTTAGATAACTATGTCAAAACTTACAAATTAAACCAGAAAAATCAACTCTAATGTCATTTTTATCTAAATCATATCAATTATTTCATACCAAAAATATGTATTTTCTAACTCATTTGCCACAAGAATACATTCTCCGAAGATCTCTCATCTAAATACTAGATTTGCGCCAGATTCCTATATGTGCGTACATTTTTTTTCCTTCACCAAATATATTGGTTCAATCTGGGTTTGCTTTTAAAAAGTAATAATAATACTAATAATAAATTATTATTAATATTAAAAATATAAAAAAAATAAAAATCTGGGTTTGCTATTGTTTTGGGCCAGAGCTCCACCCTTGGACCGACCCAGTTCCACCCCTACAAGATAACACTCAGATGAAAGATGGGTCTAATATGAACAGAGCATATTTCGAGAATGCTCTTTTACTTTAGTGTATGATTGTGACCGTGAAGAAGCCATGGCTAACCAGACAAGGACAAGAAGCTGGAGCTTTTGCTCCCAAGTCGGTTTCAACTTTCAACTTTGCCAATGGCTATGGTGGGGTCATCTTCTTCTCTCTCTGTTTCTTAACTCTAACTTTGCTTCAAACTTTATTATAATCTTCCACACAGACACGACAAGAGCTTTTTGGGTCTTCCTCATCTCTTCCTTTTTTTGCAAATTTCCATAGGTTCGGTAACGCTGATTTTCATGGCCTAAATCTTAGGCGGCACAAAAGAAGAAAAGAAAAAGACAAAACTCACCAGAAGAAGTTAAAAACAGTGTATGTTTATTGAATTGTATATTGCTTTTATTCCACAAATATGGTCATTTGGTTCGGCGCACCATCAGAAATGGATGCCCTTTACCCCCTCTCTATATCAACTAAAAACAAACAAGAACCAAATAAACTAATCCAGATAGTTAACAAAGAAAGCACCCGATAGAAGGCAGCAAAACTTTCAAGTTTTGGTACCGACCTTCGCACTCCATTTGAATTAATGAGCCCTGAGTTGAGGTTGCCATACGCTAATTCATTGTACGAGGAATTCCTTCTTGTGATTCATAAATTACAAACCTTGCAGTGATACCAGATGCCTGTGACAGAAAATGAAAGGCAATAGGCATAACTATATTACGAAAACTATTCAGTTTCTATGATCCGTGAATCAAATTGTTACCCAAAAAAATAAAATATGAGAACAAGTTTTCTTTTATTACATAAACTGGTTATAGAACGAGGTGACAAGAAGGCAGCTGCCTCAGGTGAAAAATAATGTATTGCACGAGCATAATAGAACATACCATGAATGAGTGTTTTAATATTGAAGCATTGCAGAAATTGCTTCCCGGATCTCGGGAAAGCTGAAGCCTCACGTGTGGGACACTCTTCCAACTCTCTCCAAGGGCAGGTTTTGAAGAACCTCTATCACCACCCACCGTGTGATTTGTTACCTTTGGCATTACAATTACAAGTTACTGGAAGTAAACAAGATGAGTGCCTAATTCATTCTCTATTAGTTAAAAATGTCACAGGTAAATAGGTTATTGCCCAATTCATTCAAGTAGAAACTTACTAGTACTGCAATGTTATGTTCATGAGCTATCTTCTTCAGTAGATATCCAGCAGATATCATTAAAGCATGTCCTGTACAAGTACATACCCATCAAGCATGAACCTTATTTTCTATTATGCATATAAGTCGTATTTGAAATTTTCTTATATATAATGTATCTACTCATGCAACATTAAATTAATAACTAATGAAGTTTTTCTGGACGTGGGATTGAATATACAAGTTTAATGGAATCTGAAATGACAGCCCAAGCAAACAAGAAAGAAATGTCAAGACCAAGTCAACAAAATGGCAGATGACAACAAATACTTTCCGAAATATCTTGCATATGCACAAATATGTAATGCACAAGATACATTATTGAGTGGTATTGCCATATATTAGTATCATCTGAAGAACCTAAGAAATCACACATGTTCTTTCAATCATGCCAGACACAATATGCATTTGCAAAAGATATACAGTGACCTACGTCCAATCAAGCATACCCTGTGAACTACTTCCAGCAAGGATGGGTGTAATTAGTGAAGAAATTGAATCTACAATCAGTAACTGCACTCTGCGATCGCCTTTGCACATCTGATATAGTTCTAATTTGTTAATTGACATTTAAAAAGTTATAACGTGGTAAAATTCACACCTGAGATACATCATGCTAAATTGAACCTGGGATCTCAAACTGAATTCCAGCTCATGCAACACATCAAACATTGCAAAGATGTCGAACACAGAGTGGCATGATATACTGCTCATTACTTGTTGAAGAATGCTGTGTTCAGTCTATGAAATGGATTCAAGTGACAGAGAATTGTTAGATAAAGTTGAAGCATTCATAAAGTACAAACTTCCAACACATGTTTTGGGTACCCCATCTAAAGCAGATGCTGATTTCCAATGAACAAAGTCTGAGATGCGATGGGGCGAAAAGGAGTTCCCTGTGTCCAGGTAGAAAACATTTGCATTGTACTTCATTGCCACATTTGAAGCAGCTCGTAGGCAAACCTTGCCATTATAAAGAATTCAAACACGTCATATACAAACTAATACTGTGCATCCGTGGCATGTAAAGCAAGTAGAGAACAATAAATGAAGTTCCCAATTATAGTAATCACTTGTCGGCATGAACATTAGCACAAGGCCTAATAAGTCATTATTAATAACAATTGGAAGAGAATGACATTACTGGTGTCCGACTTAAATACCACGTTAAACTACCCATGAACCCAAAAAACTAGCAATTGGAAGAAAATGACATAACAGGTATCGACTTAAATACTATGTTCAACTACTAATGAACCCAAATGTTTAAGCGAATAGGTTACAGTAAATTTGATTATTAATTCATATTCTAATATCAAGTTTACCACAAATCCCACACGTCATAATTAAATTGTGGAAATAGCATTCATATAGAATAATTACAAACACCTTCAAATCGACCTTACCTGAGTTTTACCAGAAGAAGATGGGCCAACAATTTCCGTCAACTGTCCCTCACGTAAACCACCTCCAAGCAAAGCATCAACCCTAGTATTTCACGCGAAAACTTCTTTATCGACCACCAAAATATTGGAATCATCTTTCATGGCAGTTAAAGGAAACGCATGACTGTTTGAGCCTCAAAGTTTGTGAAATACCCTTCGCAACCAGTGGACAGAATATGCTTATTTTCTCCAGCATCTTCCAAAAGCTCCAAACCGTTCATCCATGGCTGTCGCTTAGCATCAATTATTGAAAGTACTTCGGTAATCCCCTGTTTACTCATACCGGAGATCGGGAGTTGAGTACAGTCGATGATGAGCAAGACAGTGGAAGCGTTAAGAAAATTAGAACCACGAAACGTTTACCTGCTTCAATTTCTCAGACGCAGGCTGTTGCTCAGCAAAAGCAGCTAAAACGTAGAGGTCGTGGACGAGGAAATCCTCCACTGGCGACAAAAATGGAGCCACTCCTTCAGTGACGATGGGGCTAAATTGAATCGGAATCAAACGGGACGAAAAAAAAATACCAGTGAAAATGCCGTGTGAAGAACAAAAGTTCTGGAAATTGGAGTCTATGATTGGGTACACCCGCTCCAGAGATTTCAATGGCGCCATTTTCTTTTGGCGCTCTGCTTCCAGTTTCCAGTTACCCTTTTTAGGGCCGCGTTTGATTCGAATTTGTTCTGGAATTTGATATGTATACGACTCGCTTGAAGCCCATATTTATTGAACTAAAAAAAAAAACAAAATTTAAAAGAAAAAAAACAGATTATTCATGAAAAAACTATTAATCAGAAGAGCCCAGGCCCAAACATTTTCAGTCGAGAATGGAAATTGACATGGGCTACGTGACTTGGTACAAGGGCCCAGTTATAACAAAGAAATCTTATAAGGGCCCAAAAAAACTTTGAGAAGACAAAAATAAAAAAATAGCTCTGTGGCTGCTGGGATTCGAGCCCAGGTCTCCACGGCCACAACGTGGAATCCTTACCACTAAACTACAGCCACTTTTTTGTTAAAATTTGCACTTTATGTTAACCAATTCAAATAACAATTTTTTAAAAAACCAATTAATTATGTCTTTTAACATTAAACTTGTTTTCTAAAAATCGAAATACGATTTATTGACTCCACTGCCAAAGAACTATAACACTGTTTTTAGATTGTTTGTGTTCGTTCTGTAGCGTTTTTTTTTTTTTCGGTTTACTCTTTTTCAATCCAGAAAAGAACTATGGTGGGTACTATTAATTGTTTCTCGTTTTAAAGTAAAAAAAATGTTTTTTGCCTTTTCTCTTTTATTAAAAAAATAATAAAACGAAGACATGCTAGCAATTCTTTTCGTACTAAAAAATAAAAAATTATTGTTCTCAAATTCAAAAAATAAAAAGATTATATGAAATTGAATTATTCAAATATTTTATGTTATGTCTACTTTTTGATATTTATTATATATTTCATCAACAGTTTTTCTAATTTAGATGCCTAACCATTGAACTATACCCAGTTAGCTTTTCAGATAGATTTTGAATTTTACATTTCTATGATTTAATATCATCAATATTTCTATTTACATTGCTACAACAACATGCCATCTCATGTGTATTGTTAATATCTTCATTTTTATACATTGTCTCAGCCATCAACTTTTCATTCAGTATTTATTTTTCTCTCTCTTCTCTTGATTTGAAATGAGATCTTGAATTAGAATATGAACAAGAAATCAAGCTCTTTTTAACTTATCCCATCATATAAAACCCCATTTCTTTTTCAGCAATGGGACTGAGAAAAGACCGTTTTAAGAACAAAAACAAGAGGCTTGAAAACTGGCCTCGGGCAGCATTATCTCTATCAGCAATTTTTGAAGAGTGGAGCCTACAAATCTATTCTAAATTCTACTTTGCAGCAATTTTCCAGCACAACCCCTGTATTTGGCTTTTGGAATATGCAATAAAAGGCATCACAAAGTGAAAGCTAGTCCTGCCCAGAGCTCAATATCACATGGTAAATGCAACAGAAAACCCTCCATTCATGGACTCTCCTTCATGGGGCTTGAAGCTCGGTTAAGGGGGCTTGAAGATCGGCTCACGGGGCTTGAAGATCGATTTTCTGCTGTTTGTGAAGGTGGAGGTTTCTCAGGTGCATTTCTCAGGAAGCTCCTAGCATATATCGAAGCAAATACCAAAATCTGAACATGATCGACAAACCAAAAGTTACGGTTGTGAGTTTCAAAAAGATCCAATAAATGTTTCGTGAAGGGTTGAAATCATGACTTACAGCTCCAATCCATTGTTCCCAGCTAAGAGGATGAGAAAACCACACACATGATAACATGATGCTCACCAACTTCAACCAAAAACGAGAGTATCGTTTAGCATGATAAGAAACATGGCCGTGAAAGAGAATGGGAAAGTACAAATGCTACTGAATGAGATTTAAGAGCTAACCTGTCTTGTTGTCATTATGGTGGCAAAAGTCAGAGCTCCGAAAGTGCGAATGGTGTAAGATATAAAAAATTGACTAGCAGTTGCTACCTGCGGGAGACAACATTAGCACCCTATCCCTACATTCAAGTTAATACTCTTGATAATCAAATGAATGAACAAATAACGTGAGGAAGAAAAAGGGGAACATCTTTTCTGGATTTGCATAATAAAAGGAGGGGCAGAAAGTGTTCAAACCATTAGGCATATAAAATATTGCTTGGACATGTACAACTTAAAATCTAACAGTAAAGGAAAGGTTACTCACAGTGGAGAGAAATGCGATGTCGAAGAAACAATCCTTATGGATATAAACAAAATCAATTGCAGAAACTAGATGTCCTTGTAATATGAGACCTAAATTACAAAGCAAGGTCTGAAGTGAAAATCAATTCAGTAGAAGGTAAGGAGAAAAAGAAATGGATCTTTTGTAGTTTAGATACAACAAAGTGCTATGCAGATTAAAAAGTGAAAAAATATATATATATATTTGATCAATGTTTCCAAATCCACTTGCAGATTAATCCTTTCAGCCAATTATCCTTCACAGAGGAGAATTTCAATCTCAGTGAATGAATTAATACAATGGCCTAACATCTCCTACCCCAACTTCTGTTTCCTAGTATGCATGTTTCTTTGGCCCCAATTATCTGATATAAGAAAACTGATTTTCAATCTTATGAATGCTCAGTGAAACCTTGCTCTTTGCTCCCTCCCTTAAACGTTTTATTTTTCTTTTTGATACCATTCGTAACGCCAGCCTACACATAAATCCTAGGCACAATATCCTAGGTAAGTGACCACTATCGATTGGCACCACCCAAAGTTTCTACCCTGTTTAATTTGCCTCTTGACCACCAGACAAATCCACGAGATTTCTCCTAAACATTCAATCATAGCATAGCAATCCAAAAAGTATCCTCCCCCAAATAAATGGGAATGAATCATCAAAGGATGAAGTGAGTTTACCATGTCAACAATAAGAACAGGGAACTAACCTGTCAGGCTAAGAATGCAAGAACACATAGTTGTATAGAATATTTGATTGTGTATGTCCATATCATAGCCTTTGAAAAGTTTATCTTGAAATGTGCTTGTAAAGCCATCAAATCTGTTGAATGCACTGAGTATTATAAATTTCTGGAATCAAATAAATACTTTATATATGCTTATTTTATCCACTGGTGAGAGATTTAAAATTTAATTACAATGAGCATATTATGATGATCAAATTAAAAACGCCATAACTATTCTAAACTTTACTTCCCCCTGAAGTCGTATTTGCGCAGACCACCCCAATAAATTCAAGGAGAAATAGTATCGCAAGTATGTATGTTATAATCATGGTTCTCAAACTATTCTTATTATATCTTCCACGCATTTTTTTTCACTGTTCTCCTCCCATGAGGGGAAGGGGGACAACGTTATCACATTTTTTTCTCTGTCTCTTCCCCTGTAGTTCTCCACCATTTCCCATGACAGTTCTAAACATAAAAATGAAAAATAGAAAGAAGGATAGCCTGTCATCCTACAACAACAATAGACATCACTTGGATGTGCTTTAGAAAGTCATGTAGGGGGTAATGAAGAAATCAAATATGAAAAGAGAATCGGATTCTATTTAGTGAGTTCCAAATTAATACCCAAGATAACCAATCATAAGCGAGACGCCCCAAACAGTGCTTTCCCTTCCTCTATCAAATGGACTAAGATCAGCTGATGCCTACAATTGGGGGAAAAATCAATGCATCATCTGTAAATGGATTCAGGGTTTAACATTAACAACATAAACATTAAAAAGAAATTCAGAAGTATTATAATTCTTCATTTACAATGCATTTTATATCTGATCTCCAATTTAGATATCTTCTGTACGTGTTGCCTTATTGGGATAAAAATTAAAAGTAACGTATGTATGGTAAATGGTTTAATCCAGGAGTTAGCACCAAAACCTAGATGCATGAATGAGCAGTGCACATCTTGAACTAATTTTGTGGCATATGCAGGTAAACCTTGTCACGGATCCTTCTTTACCACTCAAAAATAAATTGCATAATATTATGCATTAGATGAAGGGCATAAAAGTCGAAATACGATTTTACTAATTCCACATCTCATACATATGCTAAAGAAAACCAAAAAATCTGGTGACTACAAACAAAGCATTACCGGGTAGAGAACAAAAATTGAACAACCCAGGGTCACAAGAAGAGCCAGAAAATAGTCCTGACCCTTATATTTCTTTTGCATAATGATGGTACCCCACACCTGCATAACAATTGAGCATAACATTACAGATATCCAAATTTCCAGTTATAAGAAATAAGGGCACAACCCGGCTTGGAAAAAATGTAATAAAACCTCCAAAATTAAGTTTTATGCAGAATTAAAACAATTAGTCACTCTAGAATCTTAAGCTGGATTTAACCCAACAAAGATGCCCCTTCACTACAAATTGAAGGTAAATCAAATACTAGGATGGGAAGAATGCAAAAAAAGATACAGTAGTAACTACATCAATAAGCACTCTAAAAAATCTCACCATCACAGGTATCATTTTAGCACACTTTGCTAGAGTCTGGACAGGAAAACTGACATACTTGAGGGCCTATAGAAAAAAGCATGAAACCATCAATCAAAAATACAACTGAAGGATAAATTAACTAACAATATTTAATAGTTTCTAACAATCCTTACCTCATACTGACATGTGGTGGTCAATATATTTGTAATTGAAACAAGGCAGTACTTGTAAACTGGAGCTACAGGGTCCACCGTCTTTTTACTTGCCTAAATGTATATCATGAGAATCAATGGAAAGTCCAGAAAAGGAAGCATTAAAGGGTAAATTTTGAATGGTTAAGTTCACATAAATGCAGGTAGAATATAGCAATAACATAAGTCAAATTCTACTAGAGATTGTGTGAGGATTGTTTTTATTTTCTGGTAAGCCCTCGACATACTAACAAATAGCAGGAAGTAACAAATAACAAGCTCTTACCAGTAGTACACCCGCAGAAACTGCAGAGGTGGTGATGCGGTTACAAAAAACAAGAAACAAGGAGTGCTTGAAATATTCTTTGTTCGCCCCATATGGAACTCTCATGATCTTTTCCTGCATAAAACAGGTAATATTATCACTTTCAGACTGAAAACCTCCCACTCCCACCTTCTATTGAACAATCACTACAAACAGGATTTATCACGAAAGTGGTTCGAGCAACCCTTTTTTCCCCATCAACAAGAATCTCTTATTCTAACAACATTTACTTCATGCAAAATGGTTGACATACTAAACCTCCCCCTTCGACCACCGCACCTATAATATCCCAAATTGTGTACCCTATACTCTCTTCTTTTCCTAGAAATTTCCTTCCAAACATCTTAATTAGTTAAACATGCACAAGTAACGATGGAAGGAAAGTCATATACACAGAATATTAAAAGCTTGAGCTATCTAACCGGGATACCATAAGCACAATTTAGAACAATTTATAGCAAATGACAACAAAAATCCGATTAAAAAAAAGAGGTAAAACATGCAAAAAGATCTGCAGAGTAACCTGTAAAACTCCGTAGGTGACAAGGGTGGTCATGATTCCAGCCACCGCAAATAACCCTTTCCATAGCTTATTGTCTTTATCGCTAGGTTCGGCCATAACCCAACCACGCCCTGTTTGTTACGTTGTTCGCTTGACTTTCCGAGGCTCGAAGAACACGGATTCCATTTCTCCAAAATCAGTACGAAGAGAAGAGAGCCATAACAGGCGCAGAGCTGAAACAGTGCGAGAACTGCCGACGCGGCGGAGGATGTCGAAGATGACCAGTTAGTGCAGCGCACGACGATTTCGGATCAGAGAGCTTGTACGGGGGAGTGCGTGTATGAGAGAGAAAGGCCTAAAAAAGGGGGTCTTTACTGTTTAGCGAGCGAGTCCTTCTTCCGGCGTTTTTCTCTCCCTTTTTTTTTTCTTTTTATTATTTTTTCGTTTTGTTTTCTTTCTTTACGTTACCTCTTATGCTTGTCAATGCCTCCATGGATTGGCTATGGCGGATCCTGTATTTCATTCTGCAGACTGTGTTCAAAAAATAAATACTTGTTAAAAAATTTACAAGTAAGTAATTTAAATAAATTAGATTATTGATTTAATACATTATAATGATTTACAAATTTTCATCTTTTGAAATTACTGCAGAATAATTTATTCAATGTCGGATCTAAAACTTTATGTCAAATGGGTTAATTTGATAATTTTAAATATGTTAATATATGTTGACTTCAACCTATATATTTTGATACTATTTTGTGAGGATTTAAATTTTTTTTATATAAATATAGAAGAAAGAGAATATAATTCTAAATAATAGGTTTACGTTTTTTTTCTTATAAGAATTATTATGCTATTAATTAAAAATAATAATTTAGTTAAGATAAAAAAAATATAATATATGTATAGGGAGGGTTGGGCCGCTCATGCAAGCCGAAGTGTCAATTTGTTAACTTAAGTAAATTATTTAATAAAGTTAGTTTCAAGGTCGAAGGATAAATTGCCGTTGGGATAAATTCATTTTTTTACTCAAATTAACCTTTAATTTTAAGTTAATCTATATGGAGGGTTGGGTCGCAAGCCGAAGTGTTAATTTGTTAACTTAAGTAAGTTATTTAATAAATTTAGTTTCAAGGTTAAAATGATAAATTACCATAGGGAGAAATTCATTTTTTACTCTGAACTAACATTTAATTTTAAGTTAATGTCTGACATATTTCAAGGCACATATTTTTTGTGAGTTAAAACTCATCTTCACATATTATACTAAAAAAAACATTCAACTCTAGAACAATCATCTTTTATATTTTTTTTAATTAAAAAATGATTGTATTTACCTTTTCTGAAATGGAAGGTTAGAGTACGCCCCTTTTTAACTTATCTATGCATTAATTATCTCTGAAAAAATTGGAATGCCTACCCCTTGTTTGAGCTCAACATCAACTATTAAAAAATAAATAACAAAATAATTAAAAATAATAAAGAACAGTGGAAGGTTGGATCCCACTCCTACATTTGTTAATTACAGAAAAGGAAAAAGAAAGTTAAAATTGTGTCGTCCCCAAAATAAACTTATAAATTATTTGAGAGTACAACTAGATAAGCTAAATTATAGTATTATACGAATGTATTTAATCAATGTTACTGGTTTAGAGAAAAAAAACAAAACAAATGTGACTGGTCTCAATTTTTGTGCTTTGGCATTTAAAATGCTTCAATTCTAATTCTAATCTTTTGAAAGTTTCAAAATAACTCTTTGTTGGATATTGAAATTTGACAATATAGGAGATCTGAGTTGAAAATTTGCCAGGTTAAAATTGAAATCAACCATATGGTTTTAGAATATTTGGTACGACTAATTTACTGGTTTCAATTTTTGCCCAACATTAACAAATTTTATTTTATTTTTTATTTCTTCATGTAACAATATAAAAAGTTTGAGGTGATATTAGGACTTCTAAAATAGTCGAAAGTAAAATCGAAAGAAATTATATACGTCAACCACATATTTTAATTAAAATCCAGAAAAATAGCAATGATGAAATATTGATGATATTTTGCATATAGTTCTATTGATTAGTTAAGCTATGTGTTCAAATTAGCTCACCGTGACTTTCATGACTACTATTTTACTCCACGTTTTGCAACTTCATGGATGGCGAATTATGAACAAAAGACACGTCATCATTAAGAGGATACTTCGACTCTACTCATACTAAATAGTCGAATAGAGTATGTCGAACCATCACAATTCCGAATGGTCTTTACTGAACAGTACTCCGCACCATTTTCGCCCGATATCCTGCTAATAACCGTTGAGTGGACACGAAATCACAATTCTCCTTAGTTATTTAATTACTAACAAAAGTTTTGAAATGTTAACTCCTTGTTTTGCAGAGTCGAATAATTTTGGGAGAAATTTGATGTTTTTTTCATCTAGAAGGGTTTTTCTTTCCTCCGAGTTCCCACATCGAAGACACTCTCATCTATATGGGACAGAGACTTTTTTTTTTCTGTTCTTTTCACTCGACAGTTTTTCATAAATATCAACACTTACAATTTTTCATACACTAAAATATATATTAAAAAGATGAGTTCAACAAGGGAAAAAAACCACGACCGTATGAATAATATATGTCTTTTTCCTACTTGAGCTATGAGCTAGAGTCGAAGAATTTTTAAACTACCACAAATAAATTGGTAGGAAGAGGGAAAAATTATTCCTACTCCAAATTGTTGTCCTAAACAAACTAGTATTGAAATCGTATTGAAATGTAATTAAGGAGATGCACGTAAAATTACAAATATTACGTGAATTTAAAAATCTTATAAAATTACATTTCCTGTTTCCCCTGAGGTTCTGTCATCCCTCGGAGAAACAAAAATCCATTTCACTGAATTCCAAAGTTTGGGTAATAATCCAACGATCCAATTGTTCAGGAACAGAACTTCACTGGATTAATGGGGATTTGTGGACGAAAACGACTTCGAAAAAGGATTGCCGTCAGCTCTGCTTCATCACAGACGATGCCCTCCGTCAATTTAATCGGATTCTTCAAGTTCTTCAAATTCGATTGCATATTCGTCTGTTCATTCGTTTCGTTGTTCTGCTCATTGATCCGATGCATCTCTTCTCAATTCCGAGCTTTGCAGAATTTGAGCACGAATAGTTTGATAATCCCCTTCTCGTAAAATGTCTTCCCTTCCCAGCGTCTCCAGCATTGCCGACGCAGAATTGGGACTGGTAAAATCGGCGGAGAAATCCAAGACATGCGATCTGCAGAGAGGGCAACTCGAGTGGTTTCGGAACCAGGAATCGATGCAAGAGCTATGAAACGAGTGATTGCAATTTGGTAAATGTTTAATCAGTTCCCCTTCTTCAAAATCGCCCAAGCAAACCGCGCATTCCGTATTGATACTTGCCGGGGATCCGGCTTCTACGTTCTTTTTGAACTGTGAGATCGGTAGCAAACGAATCATCGAGGCATCCAATCCATGGCCATGGATTTGCGGAGAAGCATCGTTAGGGTTTTCTTCAAAGTGGGCCCGAGGTCGGCAGAAAATCACCCCATGAAGGACATGGCACAATCGTTTCAATATTCTGTAGTTGCTCAACAACAGGAAGATGATGCAGACGACGACGATGGTCGAGATTGACAACGGACTCCAGCCAGAGTAATCAGGCACCGGAGGTGGCGGCGGCGGACTCGATGGCATGTAAGATTACAGACTCGTAAATGAGAAAAGCATTTGAAAATCATAATGAAACTTTGTGAAGGGTTTTAATGATTATTGTTTTGGTCTATAAATAAGAGAAATGGGGAATCTCGCACCTGAATTACTCCGTCAGAATACAGATTAGAACTGCATTTAGATGATTTCCATGTAGAAAACAAACAAAGTCACTGAATGCTAATGATAATATTTAGATAACAATGCAAGAAGTTGTTGTAGTTTCTTTCAATCAAATTAACATAAAAAAAAAAAACTCGGCCCATGTTAAATATTGTTGTTTCTTGTCATTTCTGCTGTGGGAAAAAAAAAGTAGTTGAAATTTCTTGGGATTAGAAGATAGATCAAGTTAATTTTGATGTAATTAAAACTTCAAATCTCGTCAATAAAACTACTAAGTCATTTTTTTACACTGCCAACTCCAGATCTTGATTTGTACAATGGTGGTCATTGAATTTTCTGTCTCTTAGCTGCTAGAATCTGAGGGTTAACATTTGGAGCCATCAGCAAGGCACTGTTGAAGCAAGAAGCAGAAAAAATTTGAGAAGATCCACGAGACATCTCAGTGTGTAAAAGAGACTGGAGTGGCCTTGGGGAAGGGCTACTGGATTTTGAAGGGGGGATTTGATTGATGATTTTAGAATTGTTGCAGCCATTCACTTGAAGAGGGGGAATCTTGAAGGCTTGCAATGGCGGAGGATTACGCCACTGGGGAAGTGGCCCGGCGACGAGAAGCGTCTGAAGTAAAGGACCTGCTTCTGTAACAGCTTGCAGGAGGTTACCTTTCTGAGGCAATATTTTTCCCTTGACAAGATTGTCAATCACTGCAGAAAATGGATCATTCTTCTCTGTTCTGGGAATGTCAACGCCTGTGGCCAGAGGAGGCTGAGGAAGAGGAGCATTATACTCTGTCACAAACGGCTGATTTACAAAACTTATCTTGCTTGAATCAGCCATGTTTGCAGTGGAGAAATCTGGTGACGAAACTCCATCGAAGAACGAATCTGCTGGTGAGGAACCATAAGAGTGGTAATTATAAGTCTCATATAGACTGTTTGATTCAGTGATGCTTGAATTTGCTTTGGTGGGTATGTTGAGAGGGCTTCCGGAGTGGAAATGATGAAGCAGAGCTGGTAATTCAGTTGCAGCAGTGGGCATAAACTTGTTCATCAGTTTCTGAAGCTGATCTCTTGCTTCGTCTCTTTCTTCATATGCTGCCTGCAGGAGAAGAAGTAAGCTCTTCACCTTCTCTTTGTTCTTTATACTTTCTTCATTTGCTTCCATTCTTAGGGACTCCAGTTCAAGAGTAGTCTGTAGGAGCTTCTGCCTCATATCCTCCACGTTCTGCCAATACAAACCAGATTTATTAAGTATAATTAGCAGAACAATTTGAAAGAGAGAGAATCCACATTACATGTTACCATTGTTCTGCGTTTACTTTGTTTAAGAGAGAGAAAGAAAAGAGATCAGTGTGGGGGGGAGATAATGATAAACTACAGAATGCCAAGAAGGCACTTTGGTATCCAAAGTCCATTGTCAAATAGGCTACCTAAAATTAATGCCTTATAATATTTCATTATGAATTATTCTCATCAAAACCGACACATTATTCTTTTCCATTTGAAATCAAACATGCCCAGATCAAAAAAGTCAGCACACACGTCGTGAACAGCACAAACACTGTTACTCCCTCCCCTGCTGCTGCTACTTGGAACAAGACAAATAGGGCATTTGCGGTTCCTTTTTCCCACAATAGAATAAAGAAAAAAAAAAGAACTAGCAGGCTGGTAAATGCCTTCGAAACATAGGAAATCATTATAGCACTACGATCATCTTATTCAACAAAAGTTTGAACTTAAACCAGAAAACAGAGTGAGGGAGAGGGAAGGGGGAGATCAAACAAGCAATGATTGTTGTCAAAGACCAAAAATTGAGAAGATCCAGAAGAAGAAATGAAGTGAAAGAACTATGAGAATATGAAGAGAGAGAGAGAGAGAGAGGAGAGAGGCACCTCCTGAAATCTCCACAAACAGCCCAAGTCCTCCATGGTTTGTACTGCTTGCTCAATAGGGGAGGGAGGGGGAGAAAAGTATAGGGGGGGTTTAAGAAAGAAAGCTGGAGCATCAGACATTTATAAAATGATGAGATGATAGGACAGCAGAATATAGAGAGAGAGAGAGAGAGAGATGGGTTTGTCACAAAGTTGCAGAATAAGGCAGTCCACATCAAAGAAAAAAGAGGAGGAGAGGGAGAAGGAGAGGGCCAAGTATAGAAAGAAAATGAAATTCCAAATTCTACGCCCGAGGTCAGGGCGTATTGAATTCCCTCATAAACTCATTCATCTCTCTGTGGCTACTTCCTTTCTCTCTCTTCCCCAAAAAAGGAAACAAAAAAGGGAATTCCTCTCTCTCTCTCTCATGCAGTGCAGGTCAAGCAATAAAAACCGGTGAGATTTTCCTTGTGTAAATTTCTCTCACTACAAAACAAATACACACAATAATATTTAGGGAGACAAATTACCACTCCACGTATTACATGCTATAATTTGTCTTGATAAATTACTTTTTAATATTTGTACACCCCCACATCATTTTTAATTACAATATTAATATTTATAATGTTTCATTTTAAATTCAATTGTCTCCAACAGCCCACTCCTATATACTGTACTAAAAAAAATTAATGTATATTATAAATTCTTTTAAGTATGTTACAAATAGTGGTTAGGATATTCCACTATTTAGATGTCCACTATCAGCAGTCATATTTAACTATTTATTATAATTTTTTTTAATGAAAAGGAAAAAAAGTTTATTTCCTCCCTCCTTTACCTGTCAATTTTTCTACCGGAAACATCTAAATATTAATTCCATAGACCCATATCCTCCCAAATGATCTCCATTGGAATATTATTCCCTCCGGCGGCTAACATCTTTACGTGTACAAAGGGGTTTTACTCATATAGAAATGGGCCCATGAAAGCCCATACTATCTTCCATTTCTGTGAACTCCCAGCCCTCCCCCTCTAAGATGGTGGATTCCAGGTAATCTGCAGAAAAATTCAAATAATATATTACCACTTTTCTTTTGACAAAAAAAAAAATAAATAAAAAATGTGTTTCTTTTATTACATGCAAACAGATATATTATTATGATTTTATTTTACTTTAATGTAATACAATAATTATTAAAAAAAAAACAATGGCATTTTTTTAAAAGTGCAACTCTTTGTAATTTTACGTTACATGGCATAACTGTCCAGAAAAGAGGAGACCAATTTCGCTTTTACCTCCCTAGTTTCCTAACAGCTAACGACTTTACCTGTCGACAGAGCCATGGACATTCGTGAAAATTCATCAAAATTCAAAATAATATATTATTATATAGTAATATACAGCCACCCTTCAAATAGGTTTTTTCTTTTCTCCTGTATGATTATATATTAATTAAATGTAATTAGTCCATATCATAAGGTGGGGTTAGGGGGTTTAATTAGCAGAGAGGTATATGTGGGGGATTGTCCTGAAGTGCAAAATTCACGTGGGAAGTTGGGTAGGTGTCTGAGAGGGGCCATTGGGAAGTTGACACGTGGACAAAGGTCCAAGACGGCGTCGTCTAATACGTGCCGCCGGGACAGTGACCGGCGACTGCATGATTCGGAGAACCTTTCCCCTCCGTCCGATGTGGCACATGCAACTGCAATTAATCGTGCTACTTTACGTGGCTATTTGTAGCTTGCACGTGCCTCACCCCCTCCCCATTATTATCGTTATTATTATTATCGTTAAATTTTAATTAGTGGTGATAAAGTATGAATTGGTCCATGTCTCCTATTCTATTCACTCAATAACCTCCGTACTGAGATGCGTTTCTTTTCTTACTTTATGGCTACAGATTTCATAATTAAACTTTATTTTTTGTAAACAAAATAAAATATTTACTCCTATTTTAAAAAGTTTTGTTACTTAAATACACTTCAAAACATGCTTGTTTTGTTAAATATTCGTGCATAAAAAAATATAGACTCAACACTTTAAAATTTAGTGAAGCAGGAACCTCATTACTTAGATGATTTAACCTATTTGAAGTAGTAGACTGTATATTGAACTTTTGAATCATTCATATTACATTGTAAAAATTGAATAAATGTGTTTGATAGGGACAGTGAGAGTGACATTAGTCTTAAAATGGTTTTTTTCCCTTAAACTTTAGAGATATGCCATGACTAAAAATGTAGTTTTACCTTCTTCTTTTTTTCTCTTCGAAAGATGTGTCATAGTTGACAAGCTAAACTATGTAAATATTATAATTGAACTTTAGAGTTTACCTTGCTTTTAAGAGAACAATATATTTTTTAATATTTAACTTTTAAGTGAGGATGGATTTAACTTAATTTAATTATCAATTAGTTTTATTTAATTTAATAATATAAAATTAAAGTTGACTATTAATATTCAGAAAAATATATATACTAGAGCCATTTAGAGGTTGTTATTTACTTTTCAGGGATTTTCCTAATCATACAAATAAAGTATTTAAAACATCACATGAAATCGTAGAAGAAATTACTTTAAGCCTTATCTTAAATGAACTCTACTCAAGTTAGTAAGATTTTATTTTTTATTTTTTATTTTTGAAACTGTAAGATCAATTAGTTTAGTTACAAAGTGTATATAAATTAAGCATATTCTGACAAAATCAACGTTGATGAATTTGATTTTAAGTAATTTAATTTGATGTAATTCGAATCGAGTGCACTAATTTTTTTTTTTATATAATAAAGATGACTAAAATAATTTTTATGTAAAGTTAAATTACTAGAGATTGAAGGTTCAATCCCAATCCCCATCTCCACATTTGATGTACTTAACAAAAATTAAGTTAATGAAAGGTATATCACTAAAATGTCATAAATTCTAATTCTCCCTCTATATTGTTTAACTAAAAATTAAAATAAAAAATAAAAAGCAGAAAAGAATATAATTATATCAATTATAAAATTTAATGATTACTGATAGAATAATCAAGGAAAAAAGGCCCCTCATTTTTGAGAGAGAACGCCCAAAAAATAGCAAGGAAGATGATTGCGACAAATGGTAGTCATAATTTAACCGAAGAACGGGACACCAGTAAAAGCCTCAAAGCGAAAGACTTGGACAGGGGAATTCACTGGGCATCATCATTTCGGAGCTCGGGTTAATTGGGTTTGTCGAGACGAAAGTGTTCATCAGGGAAGAAGAATTCGACAGGTAAATTTCTCGAGAGCCACTGTTAAACTTTTTGAGTTAGGTTGTTATTAGAGTGATTAAAACTTAGAAATGTTGGTCGCAGTTATGATTGCCAATTGCCATGATTATACAACAAAAATAAAGCAAAACCCAATGTGCTTAATAACTCAATTCATTTCATAGGATTCTTAATTCCAGCTACCCCAGTAATCAAACCCTTCTCATTTTCCCTCCTCCAAATCCCCTCCAAAACTGATGTTTATGATTGGTCGTTTTTACTTTATGGTTTGGCATTTGAATTGGCCGTATGGCAGAGGGAAAGGATGCCGACTAGGGGCTATGAATTTTGTGGAAGCAAAGGAATACCCGCCAGGTGTTTGATAAAAGTCCCCAATGAAATTTTTGTTAGAGGAAAAAGGGTGTTTGCCAATGCGTAGGCGGCAGCTTGGTGTAGTATATGAGACATGACGGCAGAGGGAGAGACGGGGGTGGGCTGCATATTTTGTGTAGTACTGTCTGTGCATATAAACTCACACATTCCGAACTTAAAAAGTCAATACTTACTTTGTTTCTGCTTTTACGAAATGATTAGATTTGGTGGGTGTCTCGGGAAAATATAAAAGAAAAAAGAAGGGGGGGAAAGGGGTAATAAAGGGTGGATATTTTTGAGACAAAAAGCTAGGTGAAGGAGACCACCGAACCGAAAAGACAGATGCAAAAGCAATCAAGAGACTAGTGGACACAGAAAGTCAAAAACACCTTTTTTTTTCTTGGAATAAAAATCATGGCCACTGCAATCATATATTTGAATGCTTAGTTATTTGCCAAAGGGAAAATGTTCTTTCCCCTCCATTTATTTCAATCTCCTCCTTCAATTTTAAGTTTATATCCAATTTGATGCTTAGAAAAGTTTTAAAAGCTTCAATTATTCCATCAAGCTTATTGTTGTAATAATGTCATTAGTCTTATCTCCATTTAGAAAAATGATTGATTGTATGATCTGGTCTATTGTATTTGGGTTGCATTTTTAAACACAAACATCTAGAGATTTCATATCATTATACATAAAAAATACATGAACAGTTTTATTTTTTTGTTTGAAGAATTTTGCAAACAATATGTGAATATGGCTAATAAATGTTTAGATGTCCTTTTCTTAGACATGTCCACCAAGCATAGCATGTCGTTGTCATAGTAGATTGTTCAATTTTTAAATTAGATTTAGTAATAAGAACACATTTTTTTAAACAATTGATATATTCGGGGACATGATTAAGCCATATAAAAGGTTGAGGATTAAATTGTAGGCTTCCTTTCCAAAGGAAAAAAAAGTGCAAATAGGCTTATAACTCTAGGATGAAAAATATATTCCAACCTAAGAAAAATGATCTTATTTCGATTTTAATTCCAGTTTCATGCAACTTGTCATTTGAAGGTAATTACTTTAAATATGAGTTTGGCTTTTGGACTTTTTTTTTCTTCTTATTCTTTTGTAGTCTTTAAAAGTTTAAAACTTTAATTCTGGTTCTTCAACTTTCTTTAAGATATTCAGATTTAGTATATGCCAAAAATCTTAGTTATAAGCTAATAATAATGTGACATGAAACCACTCGAAGTCCATACGTCATATCCAATGTTATTACTTCTACAACAAAGGCTAAATGGAGAGTTGAAAGAAAATTGAATGATTAAATTGGAAGTTTATGAACAAAAATTGAAGTTAAATTTTTTAGAATATAAATACACACACACACACACATATATATATAATTTTTTTAAAAAAATTACCCATGTTTAAATCTTTAACTCAATGATTATTAGAGTAAATGGACCAAATTACTTTTAGCGTAGAGATTCATAAACAGATCTATAGGTTTTAAATTATACTTTAAAGGGAGGCAGCTATATTATAGTAATCCTTTTCTTTTTGAAGTCAAAAGATTCAAAGTTGAAAAGTCAAAATTATTTTACACTTTCTTTTAAAGAAACCTTTTGTGCTCTTGCCGGTGAAGTTCTTTTGATAACTAACCTATCTTTTTTAAACAAATTTTTTTCACAGAATAGTAGTTCTCAGACTGGTTTCATTAAAACAAAGGTAATTTTGACTACCGAGCAAGCATGCCAAACAATAAGTTAAAAGATGTATTTTTCATCCACACAACCGAAGTGTATCCTTATTTACAATTTTTGCCCTTTTTCTTGTGGTTAATGGGAAATCAGATGAGTCTGAAGAATTTTACGAGTTTCTTACAAGTTACAATACATTTTCCTCACTTAAATTTATTTCTCGGACCAAAAAGTTGATTAGACAACTTTGTATCAAGACATCATCACATTTCAAGTCACAGGATGGACACCCTTTAACAAGAAAACATATATTACAATCCAGAGATTACTATTATTCAACCGAGATAATAATAATAATATTATTATTATTATATACACCAGACAGCTACTTGTTGACGTAATAATATATTTAAACAACTACCATATTGAGACAGTATCTTATCTAATGAGCAATTAGATTTCAAAATCTTCCGCCTTTTGTCGGTTAGTTCAAACTCATTGCTATATTTAGAAGTGTTCTTGATGGTGGGTGCCTATTGGTAATGTCTGGAAACAAAGTTCAAATGAACATGGAAAATTGAACAAATAAGAACATAATTCAAGGTCATCAATCCTGAAAAATAACATGTCTGGCTCATAAATTTATATGCTGCTGCTTCTCCTCCATTATTTCTTGTCACTGAAATAATCATTCTAGACCGAGGGTCTCCCTCAATCTAGATTGAGCTTTTCTGGTATCTGTTGTGAAGAGGAAAAAGAGTAGGCAGTCAAATAAGCATTTTTGGCACTAGAAACTAACAAGCCTCGTTGAACCCAAACATTAAACCTTTTCTCTGTTTATCTGCAAACTAACTGGCTAGCACTAGATAATAATGATTCAGATTCACCATCTGATGAATAACATGTATGTTATGATGCTATGAATGTTTACAAATCAATGGAACCTAAGCGTGCTCGTTAACTGTCTAAATTATTCAAACTTCTAAGAATAGATTGCTGATTGGAGATTATCCCAGATTGGCGTAGCCTTTAGTTTCTCTTCTTCTGGTGCTGCTTGCCCAATTTTGACCTTCTCTGCTTGAACAGATGCAGGTATAGTTTCAAGAAAAAGAATGGGTAGACAAGAAGCAGAACCTGCACAACAATATTAGATTGGAAGATCAGCGTATCATAGCATTACATCTGGTGTGGTCTCATAATCTGGTAAGAAGAATCAAAATCTTCCTAGAAAGATATCCAGGTGTTTGAACATACCCTGATGGTATTGTAATAGCTCAAGGGAAGGTAAGCAAAGACATCTGCATAGAGGTTCTTCTTTATCATAAATGGAATTGCCTGGTACATGAGCCACACTGCACAAACGCTTCTAATTAATCACCAATTGGCTTTTTCTTTATCAAATAGAATATCAGTTTCCGTCCTGTGATTCACTAAAAAATCTATACAAGTACAATGCATAAACAATATCATTAAGGAGCAGATATCAGCTTGGCTTTGTTTTGTGTAAGTTAGGGTTGGGACGTTTGAGTTTATGTATTGGTTCTAGATTGTTTAGAGGAAATCAATTTTAGGAACCTAGGTTTATGTAGCATATATTTGGTTTAATCTCTAGGTCTGTGATTTGTAAAAATATGTAACTTGATAATGTAAACTAGAAGTTTGAGTTTATGTAGCTGGATAGGATTAGCAAAATAAGTAAACACATAAACATAGCTCGGATCCATAACTCTAGGCTATACAAATCTGATATGTGAGCTAATGCTCCCTAAGAAATATATCAAATTATAGAAATCAAGATGCTTTGGATACTGTGGACTCACTTTCACCAATTGTCACTCCAATAGGATAGAGAACAATGAATGCAGTGTACCTAGCAGAAACAATAAAACAAATTAGAAAATTAAAAATATTTTCTCATTTTGAGTACATGTAGTTTTCTTCGGAAGAACATTCAGGAAGTACCTAAGATATGTAAGCCAAAATGGGCAAACTCCCAAGCAATTCAAAGCATGATGAGAATATCTGATTACCTGAATCCATTTCATCACAGTAAAAATCCAGAAACCCAACCGACAAAGGAAAAGGAAAAAGAAAAGCTATGAAGATGAAGATTATCCGAAAGGCACAAGAGGACATAAGAGTAAGGAATTACAATATGAAGCAGAGATGGATCTCCAGGTGAACCAATGGAAATAAGCAGTAAAGAGTGAAAAGGTAGAATAGTTAAGAAGCAAACTAGCAGTATGAATTTACTTAGAGACTGCCATTAACTTTTTTCTTTCTTCCTTTCTTTTTTCAGATAGACAGGTTACATTAGCATTAAGAAGACTTAGATTTCAGTTCTTACCAGTCTTATTATAAGTGAAAACAACCTTACATTAAGGCTCCTCAAGTTCAACTTTACTTCTGTAGAGCAAAGTCAAATTTCTGGTACTTGTAGCAAATTACAATTATCCTTGCATGATAATTGCTCACCAGCCCCAACCAAACCGATTTATCTACATACTAACTTGGTATTTGTCACTAGTCTTTGACAAACAAAATAGTCAAAATAGATTAGTTTGATGACGATTTTTGTTTTAGATATTTGTTTTAAAAGAATGTGCTTGCTTACTAACAAAGTTCTTTGTTTTGTAATCAAAACAAAGAAATTATTACTAAGTCAAAGATACCAAATTTATAGGGAGAAAGGGGTCTACCTCTGATAAGCTCCAAGCCATGAAAGTGATGAAAACATAAGGCAAATGTTGAACCTGACAATGAAAAAAGAAAGAAAGAGTGTAGGGGGAAATATCCAACAAGAAACTACGTCTTTCTAGTCAAAAGAATGCAACATAATGAAAAAGAGAAAACCTCTGCAAGTCGACGAACAACTGCAATCAGAAAATGAACCCTCCCACCCCATTGCATTAGAGGAAGCAGCACTCCAGTAGGAACCAGGCCTGAAATTTAAAGGCAAAATCACAACCATATCAAATTTAGATATCAATCGAGAGAATAATACCAAACTTTCTTTAAATTACCAACAGCTCCATGAATGATTTCCAAGAATGCAGCAGTTTGCAGGAAACCTTCGAAAAACAAGGAAATCATAAGTACTTCTCACATCAAATTTAGCCTACACATTTTTAAGTTTCAATTAACATTTCTTCAACATCTTCAAACTCCTCAACTTTCCCAGGAACCAAACAGAGAGCAAGTAACTTACAGATAAGTTCTCCCACCGAAGAGTAAGCACCAATAGTAGATTTGGTGGCTGCAAAACTGCCCACGAGTCTATAAAGAGAAATCGTCCTGCCAACAAGAACACAGTACCATGATGACGAAGAACAACAGAGAGAGGGCGAGAAAAATGAATGCAAAAAAAAGGGGGAAAAATACCAGCCAAAAGCTTGGAGAGAGTTGTAAGTTAAAAGATAGGAGTTGGATAGGCGAGACATTCTGTTGTGGGCAGTTTGTCAAATTGGAAATGGAAAGTTTCTGTTCTATGGATTCTCTCAGTTTTTCCCCATGGAGACGACGATTTGGGAAAAATCACATAGGATTGAGATAAATTCCAATTTCGGGGCAGAGGGTAGTTGGAATGTTGGATTGGAATTAACGTTGGGTTTTGTTTTGACACATTCGGGGCAAAGTCAATTAATTGCCAACCATGGAACCTGCAGATTAACACTCGCAATCTCCACTTTAGATTTCTAATACTAAAATAACTTCCTTCATAGCTTGAGAAACCCATTGGTTTGATAACCATGTTTTTAGTCTCCATGCTAGAGATTCGAGCCACAGTCAGACCAGACGCTCATCGAATAGTTACTGGAATTAAACGGACGATATCAGACGGCTGGTACTTTTGAAGAGGAAATTTTGTTGTGCAGCGTGCATCCGACGGTTTAGAACCCATCATCTTTTAATCCAACGGTTACTGTCCTGAGATGTGGCGCCAGAAGAATCGGAACAAGAAAGAGAGAAAATGAAAAAAGGAACCTAATGGTCAGAAATTATAAACCTAGTTCGCTAGCCGCACATGTTCTTGTTTGCGTTCCAGAGCTGTCCGATTTTCTTACGCCTGCCATCGGACGGTGCAAATTTGCTGACCGATTATATTATGATTTGTGATTCCAGCCCCACATTTCTCTCTCTGTTACGAGTGTGGTTGAGAATGACTCTGTTGATATTTTTTTTCCTCTTCTAAAGAAGAATAAGATAAGTGAGTGGATTTGACTCATGACCTATTTGTCATATACATGATTACTGCTAAACTAAGTTTATGTTGCGATTACATAGATTATGTTTTTTTAGTACAATGATAATAATTCAAATTGACAATTTTTTTATTGAAGATCTATGTGTAAACCAATTGAGCTAGGTAATTACTTAACCTATTTGTCATAGACATGATTACTGCTGAACTAAGTTTATGTTGCGATTAGATAGATTATGTTTTTTTAGTACAACGATAATAATTCAAATTCACGACTTTTTGATTGAAGATCTATGTGTAAACCAATTGAGCTATGGTGATTACTTAGGCTTATTTTACTTTAAAAAAATTGGCATATTAGATTAATTAGGGGATGAGAGGCTCAATTGATTAGAAACATCGAGTGAATTACGTTAAGTATTAAGGTGTGACATATTTTTGTGGCACCAAAGAGATGTCCACTATCAAATGTATTTTTCTTGCACCAATCACATCAAATTTACTTTATAGTTAGTTTGACTAGACATATTGAGCACCAATCACATATGGAATCATAATCGTTCTACTACTACGAGTTCACTTATTGATGTTTGATCTGACTACATTAATCTATTGCCCTATTGAACATTCAAGCATAACCTCTCTTGCCTCTCTTGCTTTGATGTCACACTAGCACTTTTCAAATGAGTGAAATTTAGATATTCTTTTAAGTGATGTGCCTGATCCCTTCTTGATTGGTCAAGCCAAACCAATCTTGTCGATCGAGTATAGCCATCTTTCCGGTGGCTAGTTAGGTTTTATAAGAGTTCGAGTTTGATTGCATTCCTAGTGGTGAGCTAAGCCTATGGTAGAGCTACCAAACAATGTGAGAAGAGCTAAGCTCCTTGGCTAATTTGGGTAAAGTAGGTGGGATAGTGAACTAAGGCGTCTGATCGAACATACTAAAGTATGAAGGCCTGATGTCCACATGGACTATAGTTTTGTTTTAAATATTAAAAATTAACCCATGACATCAATTATTATTTTCTTCTACATAATAATTGATAGATACTTTTTTTCTTTGAGAAGTATGATAGATAAGATACTGTTTGTTGTTATTATTATTTTTGTTTTGACAAATTGTAGGATAGATAGAATGGTTTTGGAAGGCATCAAGTGTATCGTACTGTTGAATATGCTCTTGCACTTATCAAAAAAGTTTTGTGAAATATGGAATATTATTCACTATGCAACCTTTTTACTTCCAGTCAAATTAAAGAAAGGAAAATAGGAGATGTTTGTTTTGTCTTCTCTTGCCACCCTACCATCCAATTATTTCCATTTTCTATCATTTTGCCTCTCTGTTATATATATATAAAACACTGAAGTGGTGGAATTGAATTGGTGATGGTGTTAATGGAACTCTACAGCTAACAGGATATAATTTATAAATCGGCAGCAGCAGCACGCCTCAGAAAAGCAAAGGCCGCCTTCTGTTTTTAACTTTTAACTATGACTCTTTTTCTTTCTGCTATTTATAAATTCCATTGTTGTTCAGGAGAAGATAGAAACAAACAGTCATCAAAACAACTAAAATTATCTCAGCCCACAAGAGAAAATGGATCTAAAGCCATCAGTTTCCATTATTTTTGGTTATGAACATCTCAACAAAACATAGCTAAGGATACTCTACTAACAATGGATTAGTGATTACAACATCAGAAAACTTAAGACAAGAGGAGAGGCACGCTTCTTGGATATAATTAATCACTACACATATACACAAAAATTCAATAGAAAAAATTCTGATTAGCCTGAGCAAGGCGTGGCCTCCCGTTATGATCATAGCCAGAGAAAATTAGCTTACTCTCTTCCTCCTCCATCCTCCACAGAGAATCCCCACAGTAGTAGTCCCATGGAGAAGAAGAAGTCAGAGCAGGGCAAGAAAAGTTGCAGTCCTCTTCACTGTACACATCTTGATTCATAATCAAGCTCTCATGATCCGACAGATCAATATCTTTCCATATGTCATCCATGGAGTATCCATTCGGATCACCCTGTTCTTGATTCTCCTCCATCTTCTTCTTTGTCGTTGACAAAGCTGTAACTTCAGATCCTTCAGACCCCCCTGAGTCGAAGAACTTCACTGGTCCAGTATCTGCAGGAAATTCCACTGCGGAGTTATTGGATGAAGAAGAAGAAGATGATGATGACGACGACAAAGAGGCAGACAAAGCCCTTCTTTTCTCCTGTGCCTTCTTCCTCATGTGGGTTCTCCAGTAGTTCTTGATTTCGTTGTCTGTGCGGCCTGGTAATTTCCTAGCGATCTTGGACCATCTGCCATATGAACAGAGAGGTGAAGGGTTGAGAATTTGAGGGAATAAGAAAGAAGGGACGGGAAAAAATTATGGAGTTTTAGAGACCTGTTCCCCCATTTGGCGTGAAGTTCAAGCACGAGCCTCTCTTCTTGAGAGCTCATCTTCCCTCTCTTGAGACCAGGATGAAGGTAATTAACCCATCTCAGCCTGCAACTTTTGCCTGTTCTGTTCAATCCTACAAGACAAATCCAAACCCAAATCCAAATCCAAAGGAGGGGTTAAAAAAGAGCCTTTCACAAACACATAAAATCTTCAGTTTAGCCTACCTAGCAACTGTCTCCCGCCACCTTCAAACCTGAAACTTTTGCTATGGAATCCCATCTTCGATCGCCAAACAAGCCCACATAGCAAATCAGTTGGATGTCTTCTTGCTCTGTCCATGGACCCTTTCGGATTTCCTGTCCCTCCACCATTTTTTGTTGTTCTCTCTCAAGAAAAAGCAAGCCCTTTTCTTTTTCTCTCCCTCACCAACTCATGGAGATTTTGGGTGTACTCTACTAATATTTATAGCATCAAAATCTTAACCAAGTGACTTTACTCTATGATTAAAATACATAGGAGCTTGAATCCTCACCGTACATGTAATGTGATGGAGGGCCTCCATGGGGTGGGTTTTTAGTGATAAGCAACCTTATGCATATGATGTCACCCATTAATGCCAAAATAATCAAAGTAGGCGATTGATATGTTGATGTAGCTTTCAAAAACGCCCCCTTCAAAACCAAGGGTCGATGAACTCTCCCTGCTTTTAGTTATTTTAATCGTTTTCAAAAAACCCCACTAACGAGATTTTCCTTCAAAAAAAAGTGGATCGCCCCATTAAGGAAAACCACGACGGGATTGGGATTTGTTAGAAATTCAAAATTATGCTGAGTGCGACAACTGGAGAAGGGGAAGGTGGAGTTTGTGGAAGGCAATTGGCTTAGCATTGAAAGTGTTCGACGAAATGCCCCAGAGAGTTCGAATGTGGAAAAAGTTACTGCCTGTAGTAGAAACTTGGTGAGTGGGATCCCTTTCCCTTTCTTAAAATGCCTGTCAAATCATTCGTAATGAGAAAAGACATCATCTAAATTCCACCAAGAGGCAAGAACAGTGAGAGAAAAGGCCCATAACCCCCTCTTTTTTTCTATTTTTTTGGGGGTTTCTTTTTCCCCTTGGCTCCATTTTTTTCTGTGGTTTTCTCTGCTCCAATTCAATAAGCTCTGCTGCGTAGGAAGAAAAACTCCAAAATGATTAGTAGTGAAAACGAATCGTTGAAACAGAGACAGGACAAGGCAGGACCACCGTTGGACATGAATCAGAATTTCCACTTTCTATTTCTGCCAAAATACTCACGACACTTGGCACTGTTCTTCGTTATTGCTTTTAATTTGGAAAAAGTTAGATTGGGAAGTCTTGGTTTGTCAAGTTGTGAGATTATTACATTTCATTAGTTGGATTGTTCTTGAGTTTAGTCATGTGGCTTGATTTGCACCGTTTTAACGAGTATGACGTGAAGTTTGAAAGTTTAAATTTGTGTAATATGTATATGAACTTGTTTGGGGGAAGGAATAGATTTTAGAAATTTGAATTTGTACCATTTGTGTTTGATAGGTAGGTTTTTGTGATTTATAAAACTTATCATGTAGTATAAAATATAGGTTTCATAAGCATGTCTATAGTATTTTTTTAGTAAATGTTAAGCAAATCTCAAAGAAGGTAATAGGTGTTTTTCCACTGATCTAAGCTTGTAATTTGTTGGATTGAAAAATTTGTAGATTTGGATTATCAAATCATATTATCTATAGACTTAACTATTTAATTAATTTTGTGTCACGCAAGTTTAGCTACGGAAGTAAATGTATCTTTTTAAGTTTTTATACGGACATTTTGGTGATGAATTGGACATATTTTTTAATGCTTGAATATTTTTGCATCTGCTCTTGGGATATTTCTTATGGTTAGGTTTTGACTGTTTTGTAAATTAATTTTTAATATTTTATAGCTTAGTTTTAATTTGGAGGATGTAAATCTCAAAATTTTTTGTAAGTTGAAGGTGCCATTAGATAAAATTAAATATTTTCTTTTCAGTTTATAAGTCTTTAAAAATCCAGTAAAACAAACATAGTTCAGCTTGACATATATTATTTATCAAGAAAATCCATTCAATAAAATAAAATTCCTGCATCAATGTGAACTCTCTCTTTTCAAAAAAAACCCTCTAAATGAAATACTTTAGTATTATTAAGTTAGATTCCGTTTTTAATCCAAAAAAGAAGTAAGATTCAGTTTACAAATGAAGAAAGAATTTAAAGTCAAATTATAGAACTACAAAAAGGAAAAAAAAAAATAGAAAGAAATACCTTAAAAAATCTCAGCTATAACATTTTTTTTTTTTTTTGAATAGGTTGCAATTGTAACCAAAAGGGTATTTTGCAAAAGTAGCATTTAAGGGAAAAAAAGAAAAAGGAAAAGTATAATAATTTCAATCAAACTCCCCACTAAAATAATAGTACGATTTAGCCATAAAATCCTATCCATACCCTTATCTTATCAAATTAAGTTCCATCTCCATCTTGTCTACCTCCACCAAAAAAATGAAACATCCCACCATTCTGGGATTAAAGTACCATGAACATTTTTCTTCCATACTTTCATTTATATCCAATCCCAACATTAATATATGAAGTTTATAAAATGATAATTTAATGTTAATAAAGAGAATATATATTTAATAATTGTATTAAAATGGTATTTCCTGACCTATCGACCTTCGCTGAGTTCTAAATTTAGAAAAGAAAAAAAAAACATAATTTCAGCAAGAGAAAAAAAAGAGGGTTGCTAACATTATGATTAATAATTAAAAACAAAAAAAAAATTAGGGTTAGTAAAATGAGATGACAGCACTAGGAATTATGAAACATATGATAAGGAGGTAGTGGAATTTGGTATCACTGGGCCTGAGACGGGTCTTCAAATGCAGACAAAACCAATAATTATTTATGGTAATTTGTTTGGTGGTACGAAAACAGAAATCTGAAAAGACAATATATTCCATATTTTTTAAAATGTGTTTGCTAGTAAATTTGAAAATTGAATCTCAGTTTAAAAAATTATTCAATCTAAACTAATATTAATTAATTTATTAACATATCTATTATAAATTTTCTACCATTATTATTTTACAATATAATATAATTTATAATATATTATATTTTAAAATTTTGAACAAAAATAAAATAAGTTTCTAAAGTAAAATAGTAAATTTATCAAAAAAAAATACATTTTTTTTTTCAGAATTTCCACCAATCACATAATTGGAAAACCATTTTCAAAAATAATTCTGCCAATAAGAGATTCACTCAATCAAAACAAGAAATGGATGGATAAGGAACGTGCCCTTATCCTCCAACAACTTCACCATATAAATAAATTGACTTACGCCAGATGATGCAATTTTAGAAAATATGAAAATAAATATTTAAGATATTGGCATATACTTTTACTTGTGTTGTTATATAATATTAGTCGAACCAATCCGATTCAAATATTTCATGGTCGAGTTGGGTTCATTATTTATAATAATTATTTAAATTGAATAAATTTACCATTCGAACAATAAATTCAACTGAACCCAAACCACGAATACCCCCATAAATCAATGTGTAATTAAGTATTGTTGTGACCCACTGTATAGTGTGAAGCATTTGCATTGTAAACGACCCACTAAATATTCAATTGTTTTGTGCCCACCTCTTCCTTATTTCTTTAACCTTATTAGTGCCACCACTTTTTTTCTCTCTC